CCCAGGCTGGAGTGCAGTGGCACCATCTCAGCTCACTGCAGTCTCCGTCTCCTAGGTTCAAGCAATTCTTCTGCCTCAGCCTCCTGAGTAGCTGGGATTACAGGCATGTGCCACCATGCCCTGCTAATTTTTGTATTTTTAGTAGACAGGGTTTCGCTATGTTGGCCAGAAAAATCTCAAATTCCTGGCTTCAGATGATCCGCCTGCCTCAGCCTCCAAAAGTCCTAGGAATACAGGTGTGAGCCACCAGGTCTGGCCAGTATTATTTTTTAAGACAGAGTTTCGCTCTTGTCGCCCAGGCTGGAGTGCAATGGCACGATCTCAGCTCAATACAGCCTCTGCCTCTTGGGTTCAAGCTATTCTCCTGTCTCAGCCTCCTGTGTAGCTGGGATTAGCTGCCAGTATGCCCAGCTAAATTTTGTATTTTTTAGTAGAGACGGGCTTTCACTATGTTGGCCAGGCTGGTCTCGAACTCCTGCCCTCAGGTGATCTATCCACCTTGGCCTCCCAAAGTGCTGGAATTACAGATGTGAGCCACTGCGCTGGCCTTATTATTATTTTTTAACAGGCATATTTTCCCTAAATAACTAAGTACTTTAAAGACAAAGACCATATCTTATTCATCTTTTTGTCTCTGGGGTCTAACAGAATTTTGGGCATACAGGAATACAGTACATATTTGGTGACGTTAGTGAATAAATAAAACAAAATCCCAGATACAGTGAATGAATTTTTATACTCCCCTCTAGTGTCTGAAAGAGAAAGTGCAGCCAGTTAAAAACCTTTACTGTTAAAGAACACCTTGCTACATTAAAGTAATAGTGCAAGGAATTCTCTTTTAAAAAAACAAAACAAAACAGCGTTTTTCTCAGACCTACTGTTCTCTTGAAGTCTAATGAACAGTAAAGGTTTTATGAGAGTTTCTGTGCTCTGTGTCATGAGTGTTTGAATTCTGCAAATATCACGTAGCGGTCTTGATGAGAAAACTGTCTTTTTAAATTTTTTTTCTGAGATGGAGTTTCACTCTTGTTGCCCAGGCTGGAGGGCAATGGCGAGATCTCGACTCACTGCAACCGCCGTCTCCTGGGTTCAGGTGATTCTCCTGCCTCAGCCTCCTGAGAGGCTGGGATTACAGGCATGTGCCGCCACACCCAGCTAATTTTTGTATTTTTAGTACAGACAGGGTTTTGCCATGTTGGCCAGGCTAGTCTCGAACTCCTGACTTCAGGGTGATCCACCTGCCTCAGCCTCCCAAAGTGCTGGCATTGTAGGTATGAGCCACTGTGCTCGGCTGGATATTGTCTTTTTAAGACTGTTTACCTTCTTTTCAGGCTCAATCATTGTTTTGTGTGTTTGTTATTCTGTTCTGCTGGAACTGTATCATTGTTTTGATTGGAGTAAATTAAGTGTCAAAGTTACATTTTAATTTTTTTGCTTGTTATAAATGCTGCCATTTGGGAAATTTGTAAAAATTTGCTCAAGAAATAATGAGGTGCAAACTGATCAGTCTAGAGGGATGTTACCTAGTTTTTAGTCTCGCCTATTGATCTTTTCCATCTATTTCTGAGAGATATTTATGTTTTAGTATCTTTTACTGACTATAAAAGTAAGACATGTTCAACATAACTTAAAGATGGTAAAATCTGTAATTTCACTAAGTTAATCTAGTAAAAATGAGAAAATTAATGCTTTTAATTTTATTTATTTATTAATTTAGAGACAGAGTGTTACTTGCCCAGGGTGGAGTGCAGTGGCAAGATCTCAGCCTACTGCAACCTCTGCCTCCTGGTTTCAAGCAGTTTTCCTGCCCCAGCCGCCCAAGTAGCTGGGATTACAGGTCCCTGCTACCATGCCAGGCTAATTTTTTTTTTTTTTTTT